TGAAATGGATGTGTCAAAGGCGCTCGTTCAGAGTTGTTTGCTATATGATTTTAAAGTGAGCTGTCAGCAGCAGAATCACCTTGTCTGACAACTTGAATCTAATGACCACTTGCCACTTCAGGTCAGTATTTAAATGATATTTTTCAGGTACAACTTATCAACGACCACTTTGGGACCTACAATCTTATTTTAACCAAGATACCAAATATATTTCCTTTTATGATTTGGTCATGTTTGATTTATTTGAAAATTTTGAGTACAAATACTTGTGCAGCAATAGGATTTTGTGTATGTAATTGTCATGGATAGTTACACACTCAGCACAATTTTAAGTAGTCTGCATATGTTATCACTTTTAAAATAATTACATAATTCTGAATATTTGTGCATAATCTATAAACACAAAAATTTTTTTAAGTTAAATATTTAATGTAAAGAAATACTTTGCATTGCAAAGAAATTAACCACTGAAGCCAAGTATGAAACAAACTAGGAAGCATCTAATTTACTGTTTCTAATGCTTGGCACATAACAAATTGATGGGATGTAACAAATTTATAGGGTTGCCTAAGTCAAACATATACGAACTTCTAGCTGTGTTTTGGATTAACTACTCAACTGAAACGAAACTTTGTGCAGACAATCAGCTATAACCTGCCTGTCTGCTCATATGCTGTTAGTTGCAGGAGACAAAGAATAGACCAGTTACTGATCCTAAACTTTGTTGCAGTATTGATTAACAAATTACATCAAAATAATTATTATGCAAAAAACTGGTGTAAATACCGTTAAAAAACAGCAGAAGTAAACATTGGTTGGCTGGGCTTAGAAGCTAAGAGCAATTCAAAATTGGATTAAAAACCATAAAAAAGTTATACCAATTCTAACCCACCAAAAGAAGTACAGTCAAATATCGAAAGCCCACGAACCTGAAATCCAACAACTCCAGAAACCCGCATTGTCTCTCAAAATATAAACATTCAGTTTACAAGTTCCAGAAACCGCAACATGGAGTACGAAATATCGAAGAAAAAATACTTACCAAATAATGACGCCATGACAAATAATAATGAGTCATAACGGAAATACCAAATTATTGATGTGATAAAAATTTTTTCCCCCTCCATTCTGTATCAAGGTAAAAAAAAGCAGATGATTCACTCAATTCTTGTTTCAAGTTCACAGTTCAAGTTGTATTTTCTGAGCTTTCTTATTTCATGAGATAGTTTAGTACTGCCGTTTTTTTCTTATTTGGATAACTTAAGAATATTTTAAATTTCAGCACTTTTGAATAGAATGACAGATAAGAAACGCACTCATGATTTTACTGCTTGCAACACTGAAAACCGCAAACATGTTGTAGTGACGGTAATGCAAAAAGTGGAAATTCTGCAAAAGATGGAGGCAGGTGCTACTCCTCTTTATAGCAGAATCGTATGGAATTGCGACATGGACTGTGTATGATATACGGAAAAATAAAGAAAAGCTGTTGAAATTTTACAGCAGAAGTGATTCTAACACCGCATATCTTTGCATGAGGCAAAATCAGCAAACGTCGATTCTGTCTTATATGAGTGTTTCCGGCAGTGGCGAAGTGATAGGGTACTAATTTCAGGACCGCTCCTGAGAGTAAAGGGGAAGCAGATTCATGCTGATTTAAAAATAGACGAGCTGTGCGATTTCAGCACTGGTTGGCTGAACAAATTTAAACAGAGACATGGTATACGTTATCTGAAAGCATGTGGGGAAAAACTTTACTGATGAATTTTCTGTGTTAGTGCTTGCCAAGAAAGACATTTGCGACAAGCAAAGAAAGTGCACTGTCAGGGATGAAAGAAACTACAGAAAGAGTTACCATTTTAGTATGCAGCAATGCAGCTCGAACTTACAAATGTAAACCACTGGTAACAGGGTAAGAGCACCAATCCCAGAGCTCTGAAAGGAGTAAAAATCCTTACCTGTGATTTACAGGAATAATAAAAATTCTAGGTTCACAAAACAACTTATGACTGAATGGTTCATGGAGCATTTCATTAAAGAGGCTAGAAGGCATTGTAACAGTATGGGGTTACCATCAAATTGCAAGATTTTACTGTTGTTAGACAACTGCCCTGCACATCCAGATGCAACCATTTTAACATGTGATAATGTCATGGCCCTTTTTTTTGCCCCAGATCCAACCAATGAACCAGGGCATAATACACAGTATTAAATACCACTATAAATCAGAGTTTCTGAAAAATATTCTTTCAAGTGACCATTCTATTCCACTTTGTGATTATAAAAAAAAAATTCACCATCAAAGACTGGATTTATTTGTTAGCTGAATCATGGAATTCTGTTTCTCAAACAACATTGTGTGTGTGTGATTATGGCAAAGCCTCAAGGGCTATCTGCCTAAGGGGAGGGATGCCTTCGTGGAGGACTTTCTAAGGGAAACTGGCTCGTATACACGTTACACATGGGGAAAACCACGAAAACGCCCATGCAGCCAGCTCGTTCGCGGGATTCGAACCTCGGACCGAACTACCAGTGTTCAGCGACTTTACCGCTCGGCCGCTGGTGGGCCCTCAAACAACATTAGTAAATGTCTGGTGTAATGTATGGCCATCTTCTCTGTTTATTGAAACTGAGAATGATGACAGTGATTTTTCTGGTTTTAGAATCAGTGCAGCAAAGGTTAAAGCAAGAGAATTGCTTTTATATTCGAAAGAAAGAATAAATGTGGAGGCTTTGCAAAGAAGATATTGTTGAATGGATTATGTGTTCAGATGAGCCAACACTGGCATATCAGATGACTGATGACGAAATCATTGGCTCTGTTTTGAACTCACGACAGGAAGAAGACAATTTTGACACAGATAGTGAATTTGATAGAAGTGAGAAAATATCTTTTAACGAAGGTCTGGAACATGGTGAAAAATACGTACAACTTTTAGAACAACAGAGCTGTATCACAGAGCAAGAGATTATGACTCTATATAATTTACAAAAAACACTTACCCTGGAGCACCTTAAAGTTTTAAAACAAACCTCCATCAGAAAAATGTTTGAAACATGTAAAAAAAATGAAATATTTTATGCTTTACTAATATCCCTTATTTTTATATGTCTATTGAATACATCGCTAATGCTTTTAAATATCCCCGTAATCACTAATGTAAATGAATAATATAATATAATCAAGTTACATATGTAATAATAATTTAATGCATATAATAAATTATTGTAATAATGTATATAATAAATTATTGTAATAATGTATATAATAAATTATTGTAATAATGTATATAATAATTTAATTAAATGTATCTAATATGCCTTATTTATTTTGCACTTTTAGTCTGAATATTATGAGTTATCTTTTCTGTCCTGAAATCCACAAAATCCTAAAATCTGCACCTCTGGTCCCAAGCTTTGTGGATTTCTGGACTTCTACTGTATTAATACTAGATACAGTCAGGGATGTGTGCCCTCTAATTTTTTCAACACGAGGATGGAAAAAAACTGACCAAATAAAGCAGTTTGTATCAATTTCAAATAAATTTTGAAGTACATGAGACCTAGCCTAGAAATGTCATCTACCAGAGATTACTACTATTCATGGCATCATACTAAACAACTGAGCCTGAGAAAATTGTTCTCCAATTTTTTTCACGTGTACACAGAAATTCTCAAGCGTGTACAAACTGAATTTTGAAAACACATACAACACTGCACTATTATCCATGACTGTTAAGCAAAACAATGGCTACTGATGAAAACTAAATCCATTTGTACACTAAAACCCAAATAAGATCATGCCAAGTCTTAGTGTGTTCAAGCCATCATTTGTTGCATTCTGTCAACAATGGAATGTGAGGAAATATGTGGAAGAAAAACTATGTCAATTATGACCTGAAGGTACTGAAGGTATTGCTTTCTTAGAACTATGTAAAAAAATATAGAATGACTGCAAAAAATGTATTATTCATTTGACTGCAAGTTCTTACAGATGCAGTAATACAATTTAACAAAGTTGATCACTGCTGATGACAATACGAGACCACATACAGAATGCATCCTTAAGGAGTGGCTTAATGAATGTGGAATTAAGCTATATATTTATTATGCTTATTCATTTGATATTCAGACATGTAACTTTTACTATTCTGGACTTCTGAAATGTTAGTTAAGTGGTTAAAGATACACTAACTTTAATGAGCTGAAAGTCATACCTAAGTACATTTGTGATGATGGTGTCTTTCAAGATGTGAGCATGCTATTGGAACTCTTATAAAATGCCATCAAAACCATGCTTTCTTATAAACATACCAGAATTTCAACTTTGCAACCTTCTTCTTTCTCTTTTTATTAAAAAAAAAATTATTACGTATTATTTGATTTTGGCAACCAAGCAGAATTCCAACCTTTATTCTACATTAATCAAGGAACATCTACACGGTGAAACAAAATTGATGGTCATAGCTTTATGGTATGATACAGCTTGACAAAAGTAAGAATTTTTGCAATATAATATATTGTGAAATATGAGATATGAACACACACAAAAACACAGTTAGCATAAAGAACATGAATGAAAATTCATTTTAATCATGAAGGTGAAATACAAGACGTGAAGATAAAAACAAAGTATAAAGAATATGAAGAATGAAAATTCATTTTAATCATGAATATTTACAAACAATATTTTTTTTATATTTATTCAAAAGACTTCTCAAATGAATGACCTTCACCTGTAACACATGCATCACAACAACAAAGTGATTGGCATACACTTTGGAAGATGCTTATCATATCGTGTACTTGTGCAGCCACGATACTGATTCTGACGACAAGGTTTCAGAAGAGTCAATCTGCGTGTCATGAATGAGATCTATCATAGCTGTGTCATCATCACTCCTTAAAGTTGCACCCATCAATTCTGTTTCAATATGTATATAGGTTCTGTGACATGTATATTTCCTTTTATGCAGCCAAACAAAATATTTTATACTTACTAATATTTAATTGCAGTTTTTCGACTTGAGAACCCAAATTTTCTTGTAGAAATCTTTCAATTGGTTTAGTTGATTTTATAGATGCACGTGGTATAGCTAATGCAAAGGCACAGGCACGAAATGACAGAAAACTTAAAGGCCAAGGTTGTTGATATCTTTAAAAAAATTAAATAAGAAATTTGATTTAGAAAAGCATTAAACAAATGAAAACTTTTCACAGATGCATCAAATTACTAAAACTGTTGGCATTTTAAAAACATTTTACAGTTTACTGGTGATACATTAACCTGTTCAGGACCAGCGCCGCGTATGCACAACACAGCGATTCCACTCCTACCAGCCCAGTGTTCCATATACGCAATGCAATGATTCTGCTCCTACCAGCCCAGCATCCCGTACATGTAACATTAAAACAGAACGATTTATTTGAATTTTTGAAAGCCAGTAGATGGAGCTAAGTGGTAACTGTTTTCACATGGCTGATTCATGTGACATTTGACCTTCATGTAATGCATTAGTTTCTGTTTTGTGCTTCTAGTTTTGATAGATTTATTGAAATAAACAAACTGGGAATCACGGATCATTTTATATATCACGGATCATATCATAATATAAATGCGCCTGTGAATTAAAGGTGCACAGGCATTTTTTTGTTTATTTCGTTATGTTTTTTTTTCTTATTTATTTTGAAACTTGACATTAGCTTTCTTGGTTAATTAAAAAATAACATTTCAACGTTATTACAGAAGAGGAAAGACTATCAGCTTTCTTGAAGCGTTATGCATCTTACTCACTCACATTTCTCAGGAAAGAGCCAGCGTTTTTGTTTTTCTTACTCGATGTAATAGGTCATTATATAGAATGACACAGGCATTATATTTTGGTATATAATGTATTTATTTTACATATAATGTATATATTGACGTGATCAGTAACAGATATCCTGCCAGTGGAGGTCTTTCCTTGATCACTTTCCAGTCATCGTGGACACTGTTTTTGATTTAGAAAAACAGGAAGTTTTCTAATATAAACCTCATGTCACACAGGGTTTGAGGATGAAATATTTCTGAGTGTCTTTTGAAGAAGTTTTGGGACATGTGTTGGGGTTATATTCAGTTTCATTCCATTAGCCATGGCTAACCGAAGTAGCACACGACGTTGCAAACTGGTCCGAGAGGTTGCAAAGTGGTTGTGGTAACTTTTACGATGTCTTTACAACATTGTAAAGATGCAAAATATTTGCCGTTGCATCTTGGCAATTTGTCGACGTCACTGAAACGTCATGATATGACCGCTTTTAGACGTGGTTGATTTAGCACTTTTTTTTAGTTCATCAGTGTTATTTTTAGAATGAAAAGAGAGTAAATCTGCCCTTTCAAGAATCTGAAGTCCGCATAAGATTTACTTTGCAATGTTTCATTACTTTATTTCATCTAAATATATTAATCTAAGGTACATTCATCTAATGAACTGTAAATTTAATATAAATACTTTTGATTTTTTAAATTTAATTAGTATTAAAAACTACATGCTAAATAATTGTTTAAAATTTTGTTAAAATAATTAATACTTAAAAAATATTTTTATAAATATTATAGCAAAATATTTAAAAATGAAACTAATCTATAAAGTAAGTTATTAAGTTATGCATTTTATATACTAAAAAAATCATATTTCCAAAATCAATGGAAATCACGTGTTAGCAACTATTTCACTACTGAAATATGACTTTATTTCTTATTTTTTGAAGTAAGGACGAATTCACGGCTGTCCAATATACATGGCGGAAGGAGAAGCAGACCTGTACATCATTTACCGGATGCTTATATAACGAACATCTCAAGATTTGTGCGTGTTGGCTAGCTGCCAAATTCGAACAACTGCGCAATAAATTCAGATTCTAGCAGTTCTTTCAAGTCATTGGGTAAAGATGCCATCTGTAAGGCGTTTGAAAAGACGTACTTCATGTTTGAAACTGAATCGAGCAATGGCTGACATGAATAATATTGCTAATATTAAAAGTCAATGTAATGCACTGTCAATCAAAGAACGCATTGTGAATCTTCTCATTGTTCTGTATCTATTTACCTCAACTGCCTTCAGCGAGTGAAACTATCGTCAGAATGCTGAATTTGTGCTTATTTTGTGTGTGATTATTGTGTCTGCTATTGTGAATCCAGTGTTCATGAAATAGTGTCTCTGTGGCTTGTGAAATAGTGTCTCTGCGGAAATAATGCCTGTCTCCAATCGCTGAGGTTTCAGCAGTGCAATATTTGGATAAACTTACTAGCTTTGTGCTTCGGTTATAACGTTATAAGTGCTATATCGTATATCATTCATATTAATTTATTGTGTTCATATTAAAAAGTTGGCTTTCAGAATTAATTCATATAAAACCAAAAATAACATACAATGATAACCCACTTTCTAGTATGCTTAAAATGCAATGAATACAGAAGCAACAACAATTCAAGCTTTTATGGTATGTTCATTATTTTCAAAATACAAAGATACTGGACTGGTACTAGTACTTAATATGACTGCTGAAGATGAATTAGATATATAAGCAATTAATTAATTATTAAAATTAGTAATAATGAATAATGCACATTCTATAGTATATTGTCTTTTGTACAGTATGTAGAAAAGGTGAATGATTTTAAACAGTGTATGAAATGTATGATTGAAAAACTACTGTTAAGGAAACATTAGCATCTCTATGAAATATTGTAATCTATAATTATGTGATATTTAATTGTTTAATATTAAGAAACACTAAATATGTTTTATTGATTGCAAATTGCAGTTTTATTACTTTTCATTTGGTATCTATTCTTCCAAACACTGTGTAATTCGCGTTTTTTTAAATATTGCCGTTATGTATGTTTATTAGATTATCTCAATAAATGAATGTCGGAAATCAGGTTTTATTTTTTAAATGTAAGTATATGCTATTGGCATTATGTATGTTTATTAGATGATCTCAATAAATGAATGTTGGAAATTAGGTTTTATCTTTTATTAAATTTAAGTACATTCTATTTTCTTCGCTTACTTTTTATGTGCTTGTGATAACAAAGAAATTCATAATAAATAGAAACAAAAAGTTTCATCATGTGCTATTTAACAAAGAGCTTACTTTAACGTACTTAGCTTACTATCGTATACTATATTATTTCAATTATTTCTGCACAGTAACAAAAAAAGGAAAGTTATTGATTATAAAAAGGTGCATGAAATAATCATTGTAATCTACCACTATTCTAAAATGTAGAAACTAAAAATAAGTAAATACATTATGATATGATCGAAAGACATGGTGTTAAGAATCATCAGCATTACTAGTGTAAATACTGCAATCCATAATTATTGCACTTTTAATTGCTTACTATTTAAAAATCACAAATATTTTTTTATTAATTGGAAATTTTAGCTTTGTTACCTTCCTTCTGCTATTTATACTTTCAAACACTACTAGTTCATGTTTTTTTCTTAAATAGTGCTGCCATGTATTTTGTTTCTTAGGTTATTATTTCATTTTAGATATGAATATGGGAAGTTAATAGATTAGGTATATTTTTGATCACATTTATTAACTACTTTATACTGTCTTTCATTTGCATATCTTGGAGATATAGAAGTTAATGGTTATATTTTTTACTGTGAAACGCGAATAAATTTATTGATACTTGAGTTCAGGTAAAATACTAATTATGTTAACTTAAGAACCGCTTCCCAATTTATCATAACAGGGGCAATTTTCAATGTCTCTGAGATTTAAGAGAAATAAATGTGATAATGCTGTTATCAGAAACGCTTTTTTATTTTTACCCACATATATATCTTTACTTTTATGATCTTACTTTTTGAATTATTATCTTTACTTTTATTTATGTCTAATTGAGTTTTATTTACTTAAAACCTACTATTAATGTTATATATTTATAACAACCACTTTCATAATTACTCCCACTTATGGGGAAAAAATGATGAAATCTTAAATAACCATATCTTAGAATTTCAGTTATTTAAAAAATAGTTTAAAGTACTGAAAATAATTAAGGATATTATTAATTATACATATTTAGTCTAAAGAGAAAAAATTGTATTACATTCTGGTTTTAAGGAAATAATAAAATATTTAAACTTTAGAAAAATACAAGGAATACAAAAATTTAAAAAAGAAGAAAAACATATTAATTATTAAGCTTATTATTCTGCATAAATCAATATGTAACACAAGGACATAATAATGACATTTTCACAACTGTTGCAAAAAGGTGGAATTTTGCGAACATTTAGGTATCTTTGAGATGTCGTTATACGATATTTTCACAACCGAAATATCACCCGTGAAAGACACAATAACGACGTCTATGTGACAAAAACCTCATCTGTAAAGACGTAATAAAAACGTCTTTGCAACGATTGCAAAACAGTGGATGTTCACGGACATCTGGGCGTCTTAAAGAGGACATATTGCAACGCTTTTGCAACAACCTCTGTGAAGAGTTTGCAACGTTGTTACAACGTTGCTGTGCTACTTGGGAAGAGACCTTACTTAAAAAATTAAAAATTTATCCAAAATCACCAGACACTCCACCTTTCCGTCTAACTGGAAGACAGTTTCCGAAAAATTACGTTGATGGAAAAGGTAATAAAGGTAGGAGAAGATGCGTTGTGTGCACCAAAATCAAGGGAAAGAGAAAGCAAACAACATATTTTGAGTGCAAAATATGCAATGTAGGACTGTGTGTCGATCTTTGCTTTGAATTATTTCACACACAGCAGAATTTTTAAATTGGAATTTAATTACATACAGGTAATTATTGTTTAGTTTTTTTTTAATTTCATATTTGTACTTTTTTCATGTTTATAGTATTTATTTCTGTGTGTATAGTTATGATTTTAGTATTTTGCCTGTTTATTTCTATTAATGTGATATTCTTTATATTAATACACATTAAAAACAAGTACATTAAATACGCAACTTCAAAAATTGAAGTCATAATATCAAAATGCTGATTTTATATATATATATATTTGTGTGTGTGTGTGTGTAAAATTAGACTTTACTGCTGAAAATGCCCGGGTCGGTGATGACGATCCATATCAGCGGGTCTGATCCCGTGACTGTGCTTTGTTCTCCTGCCGC